CCCCAAAACCCCAAAACCCCAAAACCCCAAAACCCCAGAATGTGTCTGTTAAACTGAATTATTTGAATTAAGAAATGATCCAAGATAAAGTATGGAAGCTACTACTCACCTGCCAATATAGACGATTTGACATAACCTTTTGTGAGGCTTTCTTGATAAAAGTATCACTTTGAATCTCATCTCTAGAAACAAGCTCTACATCTGATCCACAAAGGAACCTTTGTGCCTATAAAGTAGGGGATAGAATCTTTAGAGAACTTCTCCAAGTAATGCTGATATATAAACTTTAGATTATCGAAGTGAATAAGTCTCCTGAAGAGACAAGGACATATGATATCGTCCTATCAGGTATGCTTTATTACTTATTTTCCATCATCTGTTATAGATTCTAGAACAATGATAAAAGCTAAGATGGAAAACTCTGCTTGAAGAGTATTCCCAACACTCGAAAAGAACGATATTATCAGAATCAATGTGGGGAAATTTTGAGAATACCAAAATGAGAGAATGTACATTGAAGTCCAAAGCTTGGACAAAATTTGTCAGACTCAAGAGAAGATTGTAAAAAGACTCCATGGTCTTGTAGATTACACAAAAGGAGGGAGGAGACACAGCATCAATCCAATCTCAAAATTTAGGAGAGAATCAGAGAATCGAAGGTATATTAGTTTTTATTTTCTAGTGCAGAGAGAAATATGAGCATTTATACAAATATTTACAAAAAATTATCCAAAACACCTGAAGTGTCTCAAGAGCGAAAATAATATTCATAAGAAACAAGCCAAGAGTACACATCATATCGATTTGACTCTGCTGAAGTCAAAAAGCATCAAATTAGCCAAAGATAAGCTCGCAGCAAATCAAAATGATGTAGAAAGTCCTTCCAAAGAGTTACCCCAATTTACAAGCTCACTTCCTCTTCTCCGAAAAACTTATAAATCAAATATCTCAGTTGGTGCTACTTGAACCCTTCCACAGCCAATAAGAAACTCTGAGAGCTCTCAAAAGGATTCTAAATATCTAAAGGAAGATTCTAGACCTCATATTTCAGAAGAAATGCAAGCAAAAGGTGAAGGAGATACACCTAAATTCCAAAAACAGCTTCTCTTCGGGTCAAGGTTAAGAAACGGGTCAGTTCAACTTCTAAACAGTAAGAATGCTCATGAGATGCCTCTCATCATATATTTAGGCAAGGAGTATAATAAAATTCTACAACCTCATAATAGAAACATGAGTCTAGATGAAAGCTCCTCAATTGTCGGTACTTTTCATAACCTGATTGTTAGATGATTTCAAAATTGCTAAAAGTATTGACTCTGTTCAGGGAAATGATGACTGAAATTCAATAACAGAAAAATATAACAGCATAAAAGGGGTTAATGTCATGACCACCGTAGATCTTTCACGCAGAAATCACTCTTGCAGCCCCAAACAAGGAATATCAGTATCTCTCATATCCTAATTTCTAGATCGAAAGAAGTATTTTTGAGCCTAATAACGACAATATTGAACTGACCAATAACTTTGAAGAGGATAAAGAAGTACAACTCATGTGTTATTGTTTAGAAAAGTGACTACTTTGGAGACACAACGAAGAAATCAGCCCAACCTGCTTGAAACCATAATCCTCACATGAAAATCTTAGAAGAAACCTCGATGAATCGTAAGCCTTCAAAATCAAAGAAGAAAAAGAGAAAGTCAAGGCAGCATACAAGATATCTGTCTAAACAAATGCTGGGAAATCGGACTAAAAGATCAAAATCAAATTCTAGGTCTGATATTTCCCAAGAATGTAGCCCCTTAAGAGGGTCTAAGTACTATAACTGTAGATTTAAAGGAATTTCCAGTATCTCTACTTACATTGGCTGTACCATTCATGAATATAAGCTTCCAAGAGATGGCAGATGCAAGAAATGCAAAGGCTTTGCAATCCATAAAAGCAAATTCTACAAAGGCAAGTTTGTTATCCAACATGTCAAAACCAACAGAGTAAGTTCATGTGTTTGAATCAGAAATAATTGCCTATAGTACCTCAAATGAATAGCATTTGGAGTGATTGCCAAGCTCATAGGCATTAAGCCTGAAGATTATGAACCCTCAATGCTGATGGACATTCGAGATAAGTTGATCACTGAGAAGGAAAATAATTGCTCAAAGCCTTACTATTGCCTTAAGCTGATCCAGCCTCTAGCCGATAAAGAAGAATATATCATTGCTAACGTTAAGAATTAAATTCTCTAGAGAAATATGGGGTTTTGGGGTTTTGGGGTTTTGGGG